GGGCAATTAATTTTTCACGTAGGGCCAGGTAGGTTTGGACAGCTTTTTTCCCTTAATAAATTAAATTATCATTTAAAAACTACATTTTGTATTTACTTGCATTATCTTTGCGTAATATTAAAATTGGTTTGATGATCTGAATATTTTAAGTGTGACAAATATGCAAACAATTAAAAAAAACAGGACGGGGGCAAAAACTTTTTCACACCACTGTACGTAAACAACGTATGTACACGGATATGTTGTTTATGTTGTTTACACTTTTATCTGAATGTAAACCGCGTATCTGCGTACATACGTTGCATACGTTGTTTACATATGTGATATTCTCCAAAATGGCGCTAGGGTGACGTGGAGGAGACGAATTGTTGAATAAAGTCGTTATTTTTGTTTTCTGTGATCAATGACAAAATTTTCATTTTGGGGTGGAGTAACCCTTTAATGCTAATTTCTACATTTGCTGTGTTTTTTGAACCTTAAACCGCATAAACACATTTCATTACACCAAATACACAAAATAATGTTCTTTTTAGCAACATCATATGACCCCTTTAAAATCAAGATTTATATCTGTTAACATCAGTTAATGTACTGTGAACTAACAATGGACAATTATATTTTTTATTAAACATTAACAAAGGTTAATAAATTCTGTATATTGCTTTGATAGTTTATGAGCTAATGCATTAACTAATGTTCATGAATGAAACATTACTGTAAAATGTTACCATTTACTGTGAATAAAGAACTTTCATTCTTCAAAAAATATTGAAAAGCATCATAAAAGACACATGTAAGTTATTCCATGAATTCTCCTTGTGTTCATATAGACGTAAAGATGTCCAAAGTGCTCTTTTGAGTTGGATATTTTCAATGAATCTGGAATCTGGTTCACAAAACTAACATGAATGATTCATTCATCATAATTCAGTTGGTAACAACATGTAACAACTCACTAGAGGTGGCAGTTATCACTTAAATTTTGAAAAAAAAAATTTTTTTTCCTCATTCAAAAGACCTGAAATATAGTGGATATGCTAAATTTGCATGATCTTCATTCATCATAATTGCATGTAAAAGAGTGACCAGCACGGTCTTTAGACTCTCAGATAGTCATACAAGTTTGGTGCAACATGAGGATGAATAAATGATGACCATTTTTTTGTGTAATTGCTAAAATAATTTTCAGATCGGTTTCCCAGAATCAGTATTGCTCTGTCGGGCAAACAGAGTATTGTTGAAGCTGCCACAGGGGAAATCAACCTACAAATGGCTTACTTATATCACATTAAGCCAGGTTAGGAGAAAGCATTTTAACACTGAAAAAAACATAGACACCATGTTTAAAGAATATATCAAATACTACATATAAAAAAAAATACACACCGAGAGGAAAGGAGAGAAATAGGATAAGCTTTGTGCATTGGAACGTGTTTTTACTGTCTGCATCTTATGGCTCATTGCATTTGCGTCTCAGTTTGTAACCAGCTGCCTTTGAGTGATTTTTGGTGTTTCCACAAACTCAATTCGTAACTAAGCTCTTAGGCCCCTATAACATATAGCTTTTCCTCGCTGCTTGAGAATCCAAGGAAATCCTCTAGTGTATGAGTTTAACAGGTGTGGAGCATTTTGACTTCTAGTATTTCACAGTACCGGTTGCTTGTTTCTGAAGCGCAATCGTTGTAGCCTGGAGGTCCATATGTAGAGCATGACTCAAAGGGGCTTTACTTCTGTCAACACCCTCAGTGATCCTGAGCCTCGACGGCAAACCCCAGATGTCGGAGGCACGCAGGACGGCACCTCCTCAGTGACATTCCACCTCACACTTTTGCTTGTCTGTTTCTGGTTGGATCATGTGGTCTATGATGCTGGCGTCGGTTTATGTAAAGATGAACTGTCGTGTGATGGAACTTTAGAAGTCGGTTCCTCGGTTTTCACTTTCTTTGTCTTGCACTTTGGCCTTCTGTCAATGTCAATATGACTGTTTTGCTTTCACCCAATCCCTCACTTTGTCTCTCTTTCATTTTTTGCTCCCTCTCCCGCCTTATGATACGTGGCACTAGCTAGTTCCATGGGAACTTGTCTATTGTGCGCCCATGTAGCGTTTCTCTCTCTTTAAAGGCCAAGTCTCTCTCAGGAAGCCTCTTTTCAATCTCCCTGAGCGCTAAACAAACATATGATGTGAGTGCAGGCCGCACCGGAGCCCTTTTGGACCTTCCCAAGTGTCCTGCTGTCTCGCTCCGCCTGAAGCTCGCTGCACTTCCATGACAAGACCCCCTGGAGGTTTCCAAATGAGCCGCTGCCTGGAGGTTCATCATTTGTATGGACACACACACACACACACACACACACACA